TACACAAGAGCGCCTTCCTGTAAAGCTTCCGGAGTTAGTGTCTGGGGCGCCCAGAGCAGGGTCCCCTTTCAAAGTATTAAGCAAATGAGACAATTGGCCTGTAGCGATGCCAAGAACTGGACGAATCCAGTTAATGGCCCCAATAAATTTTTGAAAATCATTAAGAGTTTGCAGGTTTTCTGTCTGCAAATGAATAGGCTGAGGCCAGACTGCTCGGTGGAAAACAATGTAAGCTAGATATTTCCAAGGTTGTTCAGTTTGCACTTTATCTGGAGCCATCGGTAACCCAAAGGAAGCCAAAGAGGACTGTAGAAATTCGTAAGTGGAGAGCAGTTGTGTCTGCGAAGGAGCTGCTAAAAGAACGTCATCCACATAATGACAGATCAGACGAGCAGGATGCCGAGAGCTGGCTGGAAGCAGCGCTCGACGAACAAAACATTGACAGGTGGCTGGGCTATTAATCATCCTTTGCGGAAGGACTCGCCACTGGAAACGTGAAAGGGCGGCTTGATTATTTACAGCAGGCAGACAGGAAGCAAAACCTTCTCTGTCTTGTTCAGCTAAAGAAATGGTGGAAGAGCAGTCTTTTTAAGTCAGTTACAATTAGGGGCCAATCAGAGGAGGTATGGAAGGGTTAGGGAGGCCCAGCTGCAAGGCCCCCGTCGGCTGAGTGACCGCATAAATAGCCCTTAAGTCGTGTGTTAATTGCCATTTGCCTGGCTTTTTCGAAATGGTGACTGTAGGCGTATCCCATGGACTCGTAGAGGGTCTAATATGTCCAGCAGCCAATTGTTCCTGAACTAATAATTTTGCCTGAGAGAGACGCTCCCCTTTCAGGGGCCACTGCTCAACCCAAATGGGTGTGGACGAAGTCCAGGCCAGAGGAAGGGGAGCTATCTCAGCAGTGGCCCCTACCCAAAAGACTGTGTAATGACTTCCCGTTGTTTCAGGAGGCCTCTACCCCAGAGGGAGACTGGCATGGGTAAAATGAAGGGTGGGATAAAAGCGACGTGCCCCTCAGGGTCTGTGCACCTGAGGGGGTCCTTATTTTGCACTGGCAGATTCGCTCCCCCAACACCAGTGAAGACTGACTGGCCTACAGGCTTTTGCCATCCAGGAGGCCCTCGTGCCCCCGTATCTAATAACCCATGAACAGTTACGCCGCTTGGATTTACTGGTAAAAGAGGCTGTTGAGACCCAGTCCTTCTCACCCAGTAAAGGGCTGCCGTAGCTAAAGGATGAGTAGTCACAGGGCTGGCAAAGCCCCTGTAAGGGCAAGGAGCAGACGTTTTGCAAGCTGGGTTCCCGGAGAGAGGACACGAGGTCTGGAGGGCTGTGAAAGCAGTTTCACGTGGCCAGTCAAGTTAGCATCAAGCAGCTGAGGTGGAAGCAGAGTGCCTTGCTGTGACGTGTCTGATGAGACCCTGGGTCCCTTCAGGGACAGGTCCAGAGATTCCAGTGGAGGCCGAGTATATACAATCCTGTTCCTTAGGAATTAATTCTGAGGTGGAACATAAGTCCACTGAGAAGGCGCTGCTGAAGGGGTTTCCGGAGGACCGGACCGAGGAGGCTGGGTCATAAAGACCTGGATTTGAGCTGAATGGCCAGGATTGCGCCACTTGGGGTTTGGGACGCGGGAGCTGGGGCCCCATTTCCCGTTTCCCGAAATCAGATTGCCATCCTTATCAAATTTGGAGCGACACTGGTTTGCCCAGCGTCTTCCTTTGCCGCACCGAGGGCAGTCTCTGTTAGGTACTTTTTGAGGTGGACCTCCCTGCCCTCCCTTACTGGGTTGGCGGCATTCCCTTTGAACATGGCCAGGTTTACCACACGTAAAGCAGGTCACAGCAGAAGGGGAGCTCATTAAAGCTGCAAGGACCCGGGCACGATGGGTTTCAGTTCCTACATTCTGGCAAGCTCTTATGCAATTGGCTATATTTTTGTCTTGAGCTGCCTGGCAATCTGCATTAGCGTTTCCATAAGCCAGCTGTTGTTAAGAGCACTTTTGCTGCCTCCTGATTATCTACGTGGCGAGAGATGCTCTGTTCTAAGCGATTAATACAATCAGCATAAGGTTCTGTGACGCCTTGTCGAATGGTAACAAAGGAGCCAGCAGCAGCTCTGGCATCGGGAAGCTTACACCACGCTGCGAGGGCAGTATCAGCACATTGCCTAAAAGCCAGCCTGCCCATGTGGCTCTGTGGCTGAGTGTCAGCACCGTGGCCTGTTCCTTCAAGCACTTCTACAGACATAGCAATACCAGCATCAGGATTACGAGCAGCTTGTAAGAGACGACCTTCATGATGTTCAGCAAATCGAGCAGGAGTTAAGACAGTTCTTACAAGAGCTCTCCAATTGCAAGAAGTCATGACATATGCATTTCCAATCATATCAAGAATACCTTTAGTAAATGAACTTTGAGTCCCATTTTCCATAACACTAGTTTTTAGTTCCTTGAATCCCGAGAAAGGGACAGCCTCATGCTTAGCACCCTGCCCACGCCCTGCAATCACCAGGTGAGCATGCAGCTCTCCCCAACGTAAGCCTTCTTTAAAACATGGTTCCACAGCATTTTGCTTACAATCACACTCCTCAGGAGAGGGAGGAGGAGGCGGTGGCAGCGGCAGATTGATCTCCTGTGAAAGAGGGGCAGACGGCCTAGAGAGGACTGGGGGAGAAGAAGCAGGAGGAGAGGAAGGGGGAGAACAGGATTCAGGTTCAGCGTAATTACCCTGCAAGGAAGTGTATAAGGCACATAAAGCTGTGCGTACTAAACTCCAAGTAGTTAAAATGGACGTGGGGATTTTCTCCCCCAGCTGATGCCTACGTTTTAAATTCTTACCAACCCAATCCCAGAGTTCCAAATCGATTGTTCCATGGTCTGGAAACCAGGGACAAGTCCCTTGTACCAATTGTAGCAGTTTAGTAAGTTGCTCCTCCGACATGGGGCAGTGAGCTGCCTTCAGCAGCTGCTGCAATGTGCAGAGGTAGACCATTTGCTCCTTAGTTGTTGACCCACAGTAAGAAAGCGAAAGAAGCACAAGGCTCTCGCTGGATTCTAGGCACGTCGGTCACCATCCCGAGCGGGCGTTGCGGCTCCCTTACCGGGATGAACTCTACGGGGATCCCGATGCACTTTCTCTCTCCAGCTGAAGCGTGCCGGTTCCGTCGCTGTGCAGCTGATCACGTTGGGGTCACCAGTTGTGGGTTCTGTCCGGCAGAAGTCCCACCGAGATGGACTGAATTACTCGAGACCCTGGAAAGTCAAGAGAGCGAGAGGGAGTTGGGGACCAACTCCACGAGCCTCTCAAACGCTCTCATATTTATTGTGTACAATCAAAGAAAAGATCTCAAACAATTGCGTCATGGAATGCAGGAGCTTAAGGAGAAACAGGATCCGGTAGAGGTCAGAAATTCCACAGTGAGCACAAAGGCTTAATTAATCTTCAGGGCCTTTGTGGAGGGAGGGGAACAAGGTAACTCTTCAGACATAAGGTGTTGATTACAAAACAGACCACCAGGCCAGCCAGTTTCTTGTCTTGGGGGTTATAGACTATCCAAAAAGCAGAAAGCATGCCCAGTGTTTATCGCTGAGGGCATAGGTTGTTCCTTTGCAACAGCAGAGTAAACCCTGAACTACAGACCTATGCTTAAAACAAGCCGTGTCCTGCCTGCATACATAGCAAGGGACACACAATGGCTTTGCCACTGGAAGCCGCCCTAGGCTAAAACCTCAACTATGCAAGCAAGGCATTGTCTCTGCTTTTTATGGCAAGGAGACAAGAGTGTGGATGTGCTGGCGCCTGCTAGCAAAGACATGCGTTCTTCCTAAAGGTGACGAGCGGCTGGGGTCTGCTACAATTTCTTAACCCAGTCATGGGCTCCCACAAGTATGTCCACTGACATCAGCAGAAACATCTTTACATACTGGGAAGCTGGCAAGCTCCTCATAGTGGACACAAGTTCTCCAAAATTCTCATTTTCGCTTGAAAGCTTCAGTTTTGTTGTCGGCGGTGCGACACTGTCCGTTGTTTTCCTTGAAGTGACAGGCTCCCACTGTTCGCTACTGGAGGAGTTTGCGTCATGGCCTCCTGTGGTGCTGAGGCACCAGCAGTTTTGTCACCAAGGTTTGGTACCATCAGTGCAAATGTCACACAGGAAAATGCGAAAATGACATCTTAGATCATTATGAACAGGTTTGGCCTCGTGGACTCTGATAGGGTCAGGGACCCTGGCGAACCAAACTGAAAACTGCTGCTCCAGAGAAACTTCCTACATGCATACGGATGTTTACAGTCACCGTGTCTTTTTTTTTTTTGTAATAACAAACAACTGGAAATAATCTAAACGGCCATCACTAGGAGAATGATAATAAATTGTCCTCTGTTCATAGAGTGAAATGCTATACGGCAGTGAAAACAAATGGAGCACACCAGCGGGTGTCAGTGTGCACGCACACACACACACGCACACACATGCACACGCTTACACACATCCACACTTACACACACACATCTGTAAGCAGCTTTTGACAGGAAAGTGCTCTCTGTAGGAGGCCCTATTCGTCTTGCCGCTAACCATAAACCAGGCACCCACATGCCTTTGCTAACCACACGTGCGCTCATCCCGAGGGACAGCCCGAGCTCCCACTTTGTTGATGGCCATGGCAGCAGCATGTCAGGGTTTTAAACATCCCTGCCATTGGTCACTCTGTGTCAGAATTCTCTGGGTACTCCTCCCTGCAGCTTCAGAAGGGAAGCGGCAATTATTAATCGAGATGTCAAGAACTAGAAACCATAGTTATTAAAGCTGAATGCACGTCGTGCAGCACACCAGAAACCGACACATTGTAACTGACTGCACTTCAGCAAAAAATAAATAAATAAATAAAATTACATTCCAGTAAAACAAAACAAAACAAAAAACAAACAGCTGAATGCAGTTCCTTTTTCTCCTTTTTCTAATTCTAGAAGAAGAAACTTCAGGCAGTTTCTACCTGATTCTGCAAAGTACATTCCCTACTAATTAACGCCATTTTTATTTTTAAGGTCAACATCACCAACAGCTTCCAACAAGAAAATGACGATCTTACCAATGACACAAAGGTGGGGTTTGGAACTCAGTTTCTCGATAAATCACGTGAGCCTAGACTTCACTTAGAGGCTGGACTGCAATTTCTACTGTTTTAGTGTCAATATTTGGTTGGCACAAAATAGATGAGTGACTAGATGTGGACTTTTAGACTCTCGGAGTGCTGCAGAGTTGCACGTGGTGCTTTTAGGTCTCATTGGAACAGGAGTAATCAGTGAACACCAGAAATCAGGCTTGTGGTGCTGGCCCCGAGGTTGGCCCACAGTGTTCTCTCCTTTATGGAGCTGAAAACAACAGACCCGCTGTGTCCCAGCGCTTGAGGGCCGCACAGGGCGGGGGTGTGGCCAAGCGCCCACCACCGTCGCGCGGTTTGCCCGAAGCCCCATCCTGCCTGGTGACTGCTTCCTCCCTGTAGTTCTTGGGATCAGCTCACTTTCTAATTCAGTCATTTTTAAAAAGTACATTTTCTGAATAAAAAGGAATGTGGCCAGAAACCAGCTGTATTTATCATAAATAGACAGTAACTGTAATAGATACATTATATGTAATACGCATATAGTATAATAC